CACAGCCAGTCGTCCGTGGGCCCCTGCTGACTCGAGGTCTGAGAGCTGCTTTGATCACACAGCCCACAGGTCTCAGACGGAGAATCAGAGGCACCAAGTTGGTATTACGGGGCAGGCAAAGAGGGAAAAGGCATTACGGGGCCGCGCAGCGGCCCCGGGTGGGAAGTTCCCGTGGACCAACTTGGTGCCTGTTCGGGCGCTCGTCGCCGTTAATGACTCATGCGGCTGCCCAAGGTATGAAAGTGATCTGGTCAACCCTTGTGTGTGGAGGTCTAATCGCTTCAACAGAATGCATAAGCGGCCACGCAAACGTGCTACGTGGCTTTGAATAAGCTGGCCTGTGGCTGCCCTGGGACATGTGTCACTGTCATAGTCAACTAGATCTGTTACCTGGACTGTTCACTTTACAACAGATGCTGGCAAAACAGTGGCTGTGAAGAACAACTGGGTCAAGTACCACAAAGAAAAAAAGGCTCCCTGTACAACAACAAAGCCCATCAGCGGAAGGGGCAGTCAGCGCTGCGCCGGTACATGCCCTTGGGCCAGTCCTTCTGGCACTGGTTGCACTTGCAGAAGGGGCACGCCTTCTTGTGCATGTCTGTCATCTGCACTGTGTGCTGGCCCAGCTGCACTTTCACCTGCCGCCACTTCCCATCACTGATCTCCTGTGCGAGCCTGCCAGCTTTATCAAGCGAGCAAGGGCGGCAAACATGCATGCCACCCTTCCCGCCGCGGCCTTGGCCAGCCCCAACAAGGGTCCGGTCCTTGGTGGCCTTGCTGATGCTGCCAAATATTGCCGGCGCGTGCCCCTGCATCCGCTGCTGCTGCCGCTGCTGCCGCTGCTGCTCATGCTGCTGCTCCTGCTGCTGCTCCTGCTGCTGCTCCTGCTGCTGCTCCTGCTGCTGTTCGGCCGGCCGTGTTGGTGGTGTGGCCACCCCCGCCGCAGGCGCTGCAGTCGCTGCCGCCGCTGCTGAACCCCCGCTACCGCCGCTGCTGCCGACGGCTGCATCAAGCGCCGTGGCAAAGTTGGCATCAAGCTGCTGCCGCCATGTGGTTTCCCATGCGGTCGCCGCCTCCACGGACGCCGCTGCCGCCCTTGCCGCTGCCCTTGCTGCTGCTTGTGTTGTAGCCCAGGCCAAGCTGCTGCCAGCTCATTTTGGCCTTGATGTTGACGCTGTTGATAAGGCCACCTGCAACGCTTTTGACAAAGTGCACCATTGGGGACCCATGCTTCTGCTGCTGCTGCTGTTGCTGCTGCTGTTGCTGCTTCTGCTGCGGTGGCTGCTGTTGCTGCTGCTGCTGCTGCTGCTGCTGCTGCTGCTGCTGCTGCTGCTGCGGCGGCGGCGGGGGTCCAGCTGACAGTGGAGCGAGGCGCCGCTTGGCCTCCACGATGGCATCGTGCTTGCGGCGCCGAGCGTCATAGAACCTCAGGTGCCGTAGTACACATGTGTTGTACCTAGTGGCATTTGGTGAAGGGTAGGGTCTCAGCAGAGGCGCACACCGTTTGTTTCTAGGGCTGAGCCTCGCAGCAGCAACAACACTACCAGCAAAGAACAAGAAAACAGCAATGAGTTTGGCAACCAAAAGACATGGGACATCAAAGCACCCACTCCACACCCACTGCAACTTTAAACTCACAGCTCAACGCGGCGCTCGCTGAGGCGCTTTGAAAGCGCTGCAAAGGGCACGCCCATGCCGCCGCGCATCGCCACCAGCTCGTCGCCCAGCTCCGGGGAAAACCCAACCTTCTCGCCGAGGTGGAGGACCGGCAGCTTCTCTTTCACCAGGGGATCAAAGTTGAGCTCCAGGAACCTGAGGTGTTCAGTGGGCATGGGAGCTTGAGGACACTGCACAACCGGCAGGGAAGGGGCTCATTTGAAAGGCCAATACTGCTGCAAAGCTTGCAAGGGCAAGCAGCATTTCATGGGAACTTGTATTTTGGGGCAGCCCAATTTTAATACATTTCCACTTGACTCAATTGTAGCGGCTCGACACACAAGACCTTGCAAGCAGTTGGGCCAGACCTTTGTTGGCTGCGCCTGCAACAGCACCCTACCAAGGGCTCAACCCACCTGTCGTCCAGGGTGCTGAAATAGGAGGACTTGTCCTTGGCCGCAGGGCACCGCTTGTGGACGTAGCGGAAGCCGACGACCCAGAAGGTGTCCGCCACTGAGACGACCCGGCGCAGCGTCCGGCCCCACTCGTGCGACTCGATGCTCCCGCCCTTGCCGCCACATGTGTTCCCGCCGCTGCTGCCACACGCCGGGCACACCAGGGGCCCGCCCTTGTAGAAGGGCTTGTAGGTGTACTGCAGTTGAGGAGTATATGCGCAAGCCGCAAGGGCGGAGGATCAGTTGGCACGATGTTGGTGCAAGACAGGCAACATCGGCATGTGCCAGGCGTGGCTGGGAGGTCAGAGATTGGCAGCAAAGTACTGAATTCCAGTTTCAGCCTTCTCTGTTCCTGAGTCTGTGCATGCTGCGGCCTGGCTCACTGCTAGCCAGGAGTGGTTGGCGTTGGTTGTGTGAGGGGGCAGATGATTACGGCCGGGATCTGCTGTCAACTCTACTGCAGCATCGTACCGCACCTCCGGCCTCCACACGTGGATCTTGTAGGTGTCTATCAGGAAATCCTCCAGCTGAGGGTGAGCCATCAGCTCGGGGTTGGGCCGCAGGCTGAACGGCGCCGACAGCAACCTGGCCGCTAGATCCGGTTTCGCACAGGTGACAGCGCCAGTGGCGGGCGTCACCGTGATCTTCATGCCGGACAAAAGCGGTTTGAGCTCCTCCATGGCCACAAGACTGAGCATCTTGCGCGTGGACGGGGGCGCTTTGCTGCGATCTGCCATGCCTGCTAGCTTCGCCTGGCAGCGTAAACCGGCCTAAGCGGCCACAGTGGTGTTGATTGCAACTTAAACTATACGCATGGCTACAGCTGCGGACAAGACACCTGTAGGGAGCGATCGCAGGGCCTGCCACTCTGTGTTGCTGCTGCGTAGGGCTTCGCGGTTGTGTGGCAGGCTAAATCTTTATAATTTCGCGTAACATGTAAATGGTTGAACCCACGGCGCGAGAGAAGCGTCCCACTTCCCAAACAGGCTGCATCAAGTTGGTCGACCAACTTCGCCCCGTACCACCAAGTTGCAGCGCTCGCAA